GGAGAGAAAATGTTTTGAGAAATGGTGTACAATGCGCTTTACACAATTGATGTGTGTATGGATTGGGATAACAGTTGTATGAGCCCCTAATAAAATGTTAAAATAAATAAATAAAAAAGGAAGACATTTTCTCAAAAAAAAAAAAAATAAGAAATACCCTTGCTTTTCAACACTTGGACAGCAGATTGACCTGATGTAATGCATTGTTTGGTCTCTCGACTGCTGTTCCCATGAGCATTTCCCACAACTCCTTCTTGATCTCTGTACAAGTTCTGCATGAGCACAATAATGTGTTCTGGAATTCCCATTCTCGAGGGTATCAATAGTTTGTTATGAGCCACACAGTTAAAAGTCCGAAGTAAACATCTTTCTGGTATTCTCTACTTTCAGTCAAAATCCATCTGGGATCAGCAATGATTCACCTTGTTCCACATTCTGTTCTGAATCCAGCCAAAATCCAGCAGCTCCCCAGCAATGTAGTATTGCAAACTTTGTTGGATGCTGTTCAGCAAAATTTTACTTGCATGTAATATTAGTGATATTGTTCTATAATTTGAGCATTCAGTTGGGTCACCTTTCTTTGGATTGGGTACAAATTTGGATCTCTTCCAGTTTCCCAAGTATCAGTCTTCCAAATTTCCTGGCATGGACAAATGAGAATGCTTCCAGTGTTTGATCAGCTTGTTGAAACATATTGATTAGTATTCCATCAATTCCTGGAGCCTTGTTTTTGGCTTGGACTTTAAGTGCAGCTTGAATTTCTTCCTTCAGTACCTGTGGTGGAATGTTCTTTTAGTACCTGAAATGGGGGGATATTGACTAGTTATTTTTGGTCTAGTGATTTTGTGTATTCATTCCATCTACATGGGATGTTTCATAAGTCATTCAATATTTTGTCCATAGAACCTTCAATCTTGCAATCCAAAGCTTGAATTCTTTCTGTAGTTCTTTCAATTTAAGACATGCTGAGTTTGTTTTTGTTTTTTTGTTTTCTAACTAAGGTTCTTTTCATTATAAATTTTTAGTATGTCTTCTCGAGCTGCCCTTTAAAAGTTTCTTTTCAGTTCTTTGACTTCATCATTCCTTTCATTTGCCTTAGCTACTCCATGATTAAGAGCAAGTTTCAGAGTCTCTTCTGACATCACTTTGTAGTTACATAATCTGTTGTCAATTTGAGAGGATTGAGAGTGAAGGGGTGGGGTCTAGACTGTCAATCGGGTCATAGCTTGATGACCTCCTTTGGAGGTGCTAAGGAGGTAAATAGCTCTCTGGAGGCAGGACACACACTCCCTGGGAGACATTGCAGCTGTAAAGACACATGGAACTAGGCTAGTGTCCTGGGCTGGAGGAACCACGTAGAGACCCCTGCCAGCGGTGAGATGCTTACAACACTACTGGATCCACAAGACCTAGCACCCACTCACCTGTGATCTTCCTGCATTTGGCATCGTTGCATGTGTTTCGTAAGTCTGAAGAGGACTTTATAAATTGGTATTGGACATATGGCCTAATATAGGATTTATGGACTTGATCTAGATTGGGATGGGATGTTTTCTTAATGTACAATTACTCTTTATATAAGCCTCTTCCTTATACACATATGAATGTCTCTGAATTTGTTTCTTTAGTCTACCCAGACTAACACACACTTGATCTTTTATTTCTTTCCTGTCTTTTAAAATAACCTTTTGCTTCCTTCATAAGTAATGTTCTTGCTGTCTTCCTGCAGCTCATCAGATCTTCTGTCATTGGTGTTCAATGCATCAAATCTGTTCTTGAGATGTTCCTGAGGTTCAGGAGGGATAAACTCAAACTCATTTTTGGCTCTTGTGGGCTTTTAAAATTTTCCTCAGCTTCATCCTGAATTTACATATGAGCAACTGTTGGTTTGTTCCACAATCAGCCCTTGTGTAATGTTTGCTGTTAAGATTGACTATCTCCGTCATCTCTTCCCACAGATGTCGTTGATTTGATTTCTGTGTACTCCATCTGGAGAAGACATGTATATGCTTATCTTTTGTGTTGCTGAAGAAAAGATATTTGCTATGAACAAGCCATTTGTTTTACAAAATTCTGTCCCGAGATCTCCACCTTTGTTTCTATCGCCAAGACCATCTTTTCCAACGACTATTACTTCCTCTGTGTTCTTAGCTTTTGCATTCCGGCCATAAATAATTATGGATGCATCTTGATTGTTTGATCAATTTCAGACTGAAGACATTAGTAGAATTCTTCCATTCCTTCATCATTGGTTTCAGTGGTTGGCACATAAATGTAAATAATAGTTGTATTGGATTTCCATGAATGTGGAGAGATGTAATCCTCTCTTAGACTACATCATTCCCAGCATAGGAATGATATATGATTTTCTTATTCAAAATGGTCAATACCAGTCCATTTCAGCTCATTAACACCAAGGATCTCAAACGTTATTTCTTTTCATTTTTATCGACATCTAGTTTCAGACTTAGTACATTCCGTATTTCAATTATTAGTTGGTGTTTGTATGTTTCTCTTCATTTTGAGTCATGCTCCATCAACAAATGAAGGTCCCAAAGGTTTTGTTCTCATGGGACTTACTCCATCCACGTCACTAAGGTCTACTTTATTTGGAAAAGGCAGCTCTTCCGCTGTCCTATTGTGAGTGCCTTCTGACTGGAGATGCTCATCTTCTGGCTCTATATCTGACAAATGTTTGCTTCTGTCTAGTAGGTCCTCAGTATCTGATATTTTTGATGTCATACATAAGGTTTTTAGTAGCTAATTCCTCAGGAGTGAGCAATCAATTCCTTCTTGGTAGTCTGTTCTTAGTTTAGAAGCTTTTCTGAGTGAAACCTGTTCACTGTGGGTGACTCTTCTAGCATTTGAAATATCAGTGACATAGCTTTCAGTGATGGAGTAGTCACTAGCAGCGACACACAAGCCACCATAACATGAGAAGCTGATAGATAAGGAGTTGTGGGGGCTACTAGATTCTCATCTAGTTTCACAAATTGACCATCAATTTTTGTGTTATGATGTGTTCCAAGTGACTCAGACTAGACTAATGGAAAGCATACAATACTTGTTTAGCTCATATTTGCTTAATAGAAGAATAGAAATAATAAAAGCAAAATGTTGTTCCCAGTGAAATTGTGTTAATACTTGCTGTTTTATCTTCTCTTAGGTTTGCAACTGCAGTTTGGTAGGATCCCTTGATTTCCAATGCAATGTACACACAGGCCAATGCAAATGTCATCCAAAGTTCTCTGGATCAAAATGTACAGAGTGCAACCGTGGCCACTGGAATTACCCTCACTGTGATATCTGTGACTGCTTCCTGCCTGGAACGGAGGGCACGACCTGTGACACCGACGCTAAGCAATGCTCATGTCTCGATCAGACGGGCCAGTGTACTTGCAAGGTAGCACTGCCAAATCCAGCAAAGGGGCCCCTTCGCAGTTCTGTGTCAAAGACGCCCATGGGACTTCATTCCGTGTTCAATATGCTTCCATGAACTAAATAGAAAAACAAATTATAAATCAATACTAGCTAGCTTTCATATATATGTAAACACACACGTATATTCATTGGTGTGCAGCTAAACACTGCTTTTTAAGAATTTATATTTAACCAAAATCCATCCATTATTTTAATTGATAGAAATTATATGTTTTCCATGGATTATTTAAATGAGATTATTTCTCTTTATGTATTTATTTTGCTTAAACAAGAAAAATCTGGGTGAGAGGGGAGACAGTTCTTTAAAATACCATCAGGGAAATCACTGCTAAATAGCAAAGTTTAAATGGGGGCGGGGAGGGTGCTAAATTAAACTGCAATCACTGTACACTGAAAAATATATTTACTGCTGTGAACGTTCTGTAAAATTCCATCACTGATAAACACCGGCATGGAAAACAGTGACTATCTGCAAATTGCAGCCCTCATTAATAATTGTGAAATGATGTAGGAAAACAGCCAATTAAAAAGGATAAGAGGAATGTTTTCTCCTTAGATATTTCTGAGAAAAATCAATCCAGAATAAATACAGTTAACACTGCGTCAAATTATCTTTTCAGATAAAGTCTATGCAGAAAGGGCTGGGGAAAACTGGAAGATAAACCTGGGTCCTGGTTATGAATGTGTCCTGGATAGTTAAGAAAACAGCAGTGCCCGCCATCAAAGAAGGGCGCCAGTCATTTTTTTTAAAGTACCCTTCTGGATTGGAGCCTTTTAAATTGCAATTATGCAAGATAGATATCATGTGTGGATAGAAGACGCTGTGTGGCACAAGCATTTTACACTTGGCTGGTAACCAGCAGTGTGTCGGTCTGCACCCAGCCAGGGGCTTTCCGGAAGGGCCTGGTGATGAGGAAGACGTTCTGTGAAACATGCGGTGTTACATGAGCCGGGCTGACGATGACAGTTAATAAAAACGTGTGTGTTTATGTGTGTTGCTCATATACTTTCACATATTAGTAACAAGCACAGTAAGTAAGCTCTTGGCTGCTAAGTGAAAGGTCAATAGTTTGAACCTACCCACTGCTCCTCAAGAGAAAAAGGCAGAGGTGACGGTGTGCTTCTGCAGAGACAGGGGCCTTGGAGACCCTCTGGAGAAGTTCAAGTTCGCCCTACAGGGTTGTTATAATTCCGAATCGGCTCATCCACCAGTAGTGAGACTTTGGTCCTCTCTCTCCGTCAATATAGCACTGTTGTTATTAGCCGCCAACTCACAACAGCGATTCCGACCGTAACTCCAATCCACAGGGACCTACTGTGTGCAGTCCTCCTACGCCAGAGGGTCTTCAAGGCTTTAACCTCTAGGAAGCTGATTGTCAAGGCCTTTCCCAAGGTTCCTCTGAGAGGATTTGAACTGGCAACCTTTGGGCTGTTAGTCAACACTTCATTGTTTGTCCTACCCATGGACTCTTTATAATAACACATACATAGATATTATAACCTTCTGTTTGAAAGCACTGTTATTTCTAGGAATCAATATTTTTCCTTCTGAAATTCTCAAAAGTCTTTAATATTGCTCACAGTAGAATTGTAGGAAATGTCACACTTATATTTCAAAAGCAGTATGCAATATCCTTAGCAATACACACATTTATAAATAAGTCATATTGGAGGCCTATGGGTTTATAGCAGTAACATTAACCACAAACTGCCATGGGAGATGTAAGTTGAATGCTCAACTTTCACTTGTCTGACTTTGTTTTCTACCATCGAAAATGATATAGAAAATGTGTTCCTGTTATTTCTTCTAAAGTTCATTTCCCTCATAACTTTGCTCTAAATACGCCTGCCTTTTGCCTGCTTACAGAGGAATGTGGAAGGTGTTCACTGTGACAGGTGCCGGCCAGGCAACTTTGGACTTGAAGCCAAGAACCCCCTGGGCTGCAGCAGCTGCTATTGCTTTGGGGCTACTTCTCAGTGCTCTGAAGCAAAAGGACTGATCCTTACCAGGGTGAGTAAGGAGCTACTGAGCCATGTAATGGCTTAATGTCAGTGCCTGCTGATGCCTTTCACTATGGCACTGAGGATGGAAGGAAATGGCAAAACATTTAAGCAACTTTTTTTCTGGCACCCATTTAGGAAAGGTAAACCTGCCATTACACAGTTGGGGTAGATGCCTTTGCAGAATTCTTCCCTAACCATAGTTTATTTATTGGTGATAAGGTAGTAGATGTCAAGTGAAAATAGGTAATTACTGTTAAAAAAAAAAAAAGCATCATGCTTTGGGATGGGAACAAGCTGCCCCCTGGAGAGTCCAAGAACTAATGCATGACTGTTGACATGTGTTAATGCAGTCGGAACAAGCAAAAGGCTTTGCACATTTATGCTAACCAGCCTCAGGAATGCAGTGGATTTTAGGGGAGGAGAATGCTTATTTTTGCTTTCATTCTCCATATGGCTTCACAATGGAAAGGCTTATCCACTGGCTTCACATGCTCACCCTGGGTGAGTTCTATCACTTGTGAGAACAGTTCATCACCAGAGGGAGAGGAGTTGCATACGCCTTTCAAGACATCCTCCCACTGGTCCGCAAAAGACTTGAGCTCAGCCTCTCTTATGCCTTGCTCACATGCAGGTAACACTGAGCCCTAAGCAGACCATCCTGCCACTGGTGGATGAAGCGCTGCAGCACACAACCACCAAGGGCATTGCTTCTCAGCCCCCAGAAATCGTTGCACGCATGGATCTGGTGAGACAAGATCTCCGTTTAGAACCATTTTATTGGAAACTTCCAGAACAATTTGAAGGAAAGAAGGTAAGCAAAGAAACTTCAAAGTCACATGAGAGCAAAGTGAACTCTGTTTCTGGGAGTATGCCCCTTGCAAAATTCACTAATTCACCACTCCTTACTGCATTTTGCTAGTTGATGGCCTACGGTGGCAAACTCAAGTATGCGATCTACTTTGAGGCTCGGGAAGAAACAGGTTTCACGACCTATAAACCTCAAGTGATCATTCGTGGTGGCACCCCTTCTCATGCTAGGATCATCACCAGGCACACGGTTGCTCCTTTAATTGGTCAGTTGACAAGGCATGAAATTGAAATGACAGAGGTAAGGTTATTAATAGTGTTGGAAGAATTCCAATCGTTTTGTATTCCGTTGTGTCAGAGTAGTTTCTTGTCTTGTTCACAGAGAGAATGGAAATATTATGGCGATGATCCTCAAATCAGTCGGACTGTGACCCGTGAAGACTTCTTGGATATACTATATGATATTCATTATATTCTTATCAAGGCCACTTATGGAAATGTCATGCGACAAAGCAGGTACCAACAATTCTAAAAATCTACATTATTATAATAGATTACGAGGGAGATCCATCAGCCAAGAATGATTTAGAAATGGTTGGTTTTCGAACTTCATGGTAAAAGATAAGTCAAGGATGCCTTAGAGATCACTGAGTCAAAATTAGTACTAATCATCAAAAGAGGAAAAGAGGATGAGAATCAAGATGAGAAAACTACTGAATATGCTGTACGCAAAGTGGGTTTTAGATGCCAGGCAAAAATTGGGATATTAGTGTTCTATGGGACAGATTGTTAGTGATTGTGCCATAAGTACTGAGTAAGGGCCTTATTTAAATGAACTCTTGTGGGAACCAGGCAGAGCCCAGTTGGATCAATCTTCTCCAAACGATAACAGTCCCATCATTTTACTCACAGTATGCCATACCACGTTTCCATTTTTCATACAACATTATGAGAAATAATTGGGAATTGCTATAAAGGAGCGATGATAATAAAGCCTAAAACTATGCTGACAGGTTAGGGATAAATCTATATCTGACAGTTGTCAGACAATTTGAGGTATCTGGTGTTAAATAATCAGATAAGATCACCAAGTAGAGAATAGTGTGGAGAACACCAATGTTTAAAGACTCTTAAAGAAGAAATATCAAAAGACTGAAATGAGCACAGAAGATTATGAAGGATGAATGCAGTTTCTTTGGCCCAAACTGAGAACACTTCAAGAAATAATTATTCATTATTATCACGTGACTCAAAAGAGCCCTCATGGTGTAATGGTTATGAGTTGGGCTGCGATCCACATGGTCAGCAGGACAAAATCACCAGCAGCTCCATGGGAGAACGATTGGGCTTTTTACTCCCTTAAACAGTTACAGTCTCAGACACCCACAGGGGGTCGCTAGGAGTCAACAATGACTCAATGGCAGTGTGTTTGGTGTTTTGGAAAGTAAACTAGCTAAAATGAGATCCGTTGAACATGGCATTAGCACTACGTTGGTGACAATAACAATTTCAGGGGAATCCTGGAGAAGGAACATTCTCAAGGTTTTAAAGAGTGGATGGAAAAGAAAGAAAGAAGATAAGTTTTAAAAGTCAAGAAATGGCTGTGAATAAAACACCTGTATACTTACAAAAAAAAAAGTCGCCAAGAGATGGTGGTTTAACTTGAAATCATCGAGCATGGTTATAGACCATGAATAAAGGAGTTAGCAGCAGGAAAACATTACAAATATAGAATTAAAAAATCACTAAGCACACATGGCCAAGTTCTTTGAATATAAATGAAAATTCACTCAATGAGATAAAATGAGGAAATATGCAGATGTAAATAAGTAATCCAATTGAATGCAGACATTGTTGAACAATATCATTGCTATCACACACAAGTAAAATTTTGCTAAGATAATTCTAAAACGGATGAGGCAGTATATCCATAGTAGACTTCTAGAAATTCAAGCTGGATTCATATGATAAACAATGAAGTATAATCATTGCTTATGTCAGATGGATCTCTACCTAGAGCCAAGAGTGCTAGAAAGATGTTTTCCTGTGATGTACTGAATGTGCAATGATATTTGACTTTATGGCTCATAAAAACAGAACATTAAAATCAAGGGCTAAAATTCACCTTCAAAACTATATTATTTTAGTTTCATTTTCACATCTATCACTAGTAATAGATTATTATATGTGAAATAACAAAAAAGTATATAACAAAAATATTATACTGTCAACCACAATGTGAATTTATTTTAGAATATCAAGTGTGAGTCAAGTGGCAGAAGCCAAAGTAAGTTTGCACTTCGTAGAGGATAATAGATAACTTTATAATTATGAAAATATATTGTGTACAAATATACTACAATAAGAATATGGTGGTACACAGGACATTTGTTTCTGAATCTATTAGAAACATTTTAGTTACGCATTTTTTGTTTATTTTTATGTATTCTAAACTGTGATACTTCCTTTGTTTCCCAATAAGTACCTTACCACCTTACTTATCTCCCTCACAAACCCTAATACCTTTGGTTTAAGTGGCCCATTTTAAAGGTTTAGAATAAATAAGACGTACAATGGGGCTTCAAAACATTGTGAAACACGTATGTTATCACTTTTTCCTCTAAATTCAGTAAAAACTATAATCATGACCCAAGAGCAATAAGAAAAAGGAATTTATGAAGTCAACCCTTAATTGTTCAAGACAATATATTTATATAAGTATAAATATATGTACATATTTATCATTCTCCCCAAAGTTATTAAGCTTCCTCATTTATTGAGATAGACATTTTAAATAGTTTAGAAGTATTATACTAGTACATGTAGCTTGAGATTCAGACTTTTTGCATTTTGTAATATTGGCATTTTCCTCTGCCTTTGAACATTTGTTTCTTACACATTTGTTTGAAGGAAATATCTCTTGCATGCAATTAAATAGAAGCCAACTGTTCCTGTCGAATGTGCTAAGAAAAGTGTATTGTAGAAATACCTGCCACTGTCACCATGCAAGTTTCACTTGCTTTTTTCGCCCCTTACTGATGGTGTGCAAAGTCTTGTGCGAAAGGACGCTGACACTGGTATCTCGTTGGCTAACGAATAGTGCGGAGAGGCCCACGGAGTCCACTTGTCCACAAACACCAAGTGACTTTCTGACTCCAGCAGCAAGTCCAGGCGAACGGAAGGGCAGAGTCTCAGTGCAGAAGGGAAGGCATTTGTAAACAGCTCACTATCAATATGGGTACTACGAGGAGGGGAGAAGGGAACATGAAGCTTAACCGAATGTGTGTCTTCTGTAGGATTCTCCATGCACATGACTATGCTGTGAAACCAGAACGTACATTCATAGTTCAGTTTCAATAAGATCTGCCTATGCTTGCTATAAAGTTTATGATTCAAACTCTTCAGCTATTGGAGGTGACTTTTATTGAAGCGAAACTATTCATTGTCTCATTTAAAAGTTTATTTGCTGAACATTTTCATGTCCCAGTTAGTCAGTCATGAAATAGTCTGAGTTTATGGACTGCATATATTTTTAATGCATAAATTCAAATGAATAGCAAAGGGTATCAACAATTTTCAGGTGAATAATTATTTTTGTTAGCAATTTTTTGGCCAGTGAGAAGGATGTGTTAGGTTACTTTGTTTGATAGCATTTACAAAATACTAATTTGAAAAGTTCCATTAGGCTCCAAAGAGGTAGCTATTGTTAGATTCTATTCAAACTTGGCTTTCAAAGTTCTGGAAAGGGCACTCAGACACTACAGAAGAAGACAGTGGATAGGGCAGTAATTAAAAAGGCCTTCCCTGCTATCTGAGATGTTCTAATGGGCAGTAACCAAGGGTTATCTGTTTGTTCAAAAGAATATAAATGTGTAATTAATTGGCCTTGTCTACCTGAAGCCACTTGCATTTTATAAAGAAAAAAAATCTTATTATAAACTTTTCATCAGGATATCAGACATCTAATTTACTATAGTCTAAAGACTTACATGGATATTTTGCTAATGTATAAGCTCAACATTTGAAGAAACAAACATGAAACACTAAGGCCTGGAATTTAAGCTCCTGAAATTCCAACAGTGTCAAAGCATGACAACAAGTTTAAGTGTCATGACAAAAGAAAAAAAGAAAGAGACCTAGATTATTTCTATAGGAGTTCAAGTGCTCTTGATGTACAGATGTGACTGTTACTCTGCTTACTGTGTCTAGGATTTCTGAAATCTCAATGGAAGTGGCTGAACAAGGACGTGTAACAGCAGCGACTCCTCCAGTCCACCTGATAGAAAAATGTGATTGTCCCCAGGGCTTTTCTGGCTTGTCCTGTGAGGTAAGCTGATGCCCCCAAACCCTGTTCAACAAAAACAGCTCATTCGACCAACCAAATGGAAATACTCCGGACACTACCTTTAGAAAGTTGCTTTCAGGCAGACCCCGCACCTAGTTTCTTGGATCTTCTTCACAGTGCGAGAAGGAGTAGGCTAATAGCACTGCTCTTCATTAGTAGGAAACAGATAGACTATTTTTTAAAAATCTAATAGAAAGTAAAAGATTTTTAAAAATATAAAACAATTAGGAAATAAGATTGGTTTTAGAAGGTCCATTTGTTGTAACTAAATCTATGTCCTCTCAGCATTCTGAAGAGTTAGGATATATGGAAGCCTTGGAGACCCTAAGACAGGATCTCTCCCATACAGAACACGGCAAACTCACGGACTGTACAGTGAGCTGTTTCCTTCAACTGAGTGTCTCTGAAGCATGTGGATTCATTCTAAGAGCATTACACCCCTTCGGTCATTCCATTTTAAAAACGGCTTTTAAAAAAGTTTTATAGGATAATCTTTTGACAGTTTCTAGGGTTAGACAAATTTCCACATTTTTCTCTTCTAGATAAGTATGCATGGATTGTGAGAAGCATTGTATGAGCCCCCAATAAAATGATTTTTAAAAAAGAAATAGATTTAATTTCTATAAATATTAACAGGATTGATGAGATAGAGGGAAATTTGGTCTAGGGAAGTAAGAGCCTGGCTTTGAATCCCAAGCTCACCATATACTGGAGGCTTGCACAGGTTACGAAATGTCTTTAAATGGTAGCTGGCATGTGTAGAAGGAGCGAGATGCCCCTCCAACACTTGTCCCCGGGGCCAACAACTCAGACAGGGCATGGTCTCCAGTCCCTTCCCCGGGGCCTACAGTGCAAACCCTTTCTCATTAACCATAAGAATCTTAGAAAGACTAAACGAGCTATGAGCACAAAGCATGCTAGACGTGTTGTCTGTGTTAGTCATAATTAATATTATTAATGTCATGGTGCATTAAAATCAGAAAGCCAAGCTCACTGCTTTCCAGTGGATTCTGACTTGTAGCTACCCTATAGGACAGAGTATACTGCCCCGAGGGTCTCTGAGACTATATGTATATGTATAGTCTCCGCTTTCTCCCACGGAGCAGCTAGGGGTTTCCCATTGCTGGCTCTGTAGTCAGCAACCCAACACGTCACCCACTACACCACCAGGGCTTTTGGAGAACTAGTTATATATGCATAGATTGACTGGTGATGAGCATATACATCTTGCTTGGTAAATATGGCTTCAAAAGTTTTATGGAGTATGGAACATAAGGCATATTCTGTACTATGTCAAAGCTGAAAGAAAATCTAAGACAACGTAAATGAGTTTCTACTGAAGGAGCCCAGCATGACGGTGGCAGGGGGCATTCTGTTTCAGTCTGAGCTACCTTGCTCCATCTCCAGGAGAGGTTACTTGCTTTCTGTGCTGAACCGTGGGCTCTTTATTTATTGAATTATCATGAGGAATACATTACATTTTAAAATATGTCTAAAGACCCATTTTAAAGTGAAGTGTCATTCAGCTTAATTACCATCCCATGGATTCCACGTGTTCAGAGAATAATTTCATATGAATAATGGCAAATATCTTAAGAAACATCCTTGGCATAATTTCATCTCCTTGTATATAACTTCTTTAAAAGACAAAGTCATTAAAATGTGTTCATGTTGATCTAACAACTAACCAAATAGTTCATTTCATTATTGGATAATAGTCCCCATATACATTCATATATCCATTCATATATCCATTTATATGCACAGTGATAAGTAGATAAATGCATATGTGCAATTATCAAATATACATATTTGATGTATACACAAGATGTATGTGAAAACTGAGAGGCACCTGGCAGGAATGAGGGTAAGTTACGAAGCTGCTACTAGGCTCCAGTTACACGGGCCCTGGCTTATTTGAAACAAAGCTTTTTTTTGCATTCCTCGGTGGTCAATGAATGGCAGCAGACTAGTTCTTTCAGTAATACACTTGTTTTAGTCTCACTCAGTGTCTTAAAAAATGCATTACTTTTTGCCCTGGAAAATTGATTTTGAGGTCAAGGTGAATGAATGTTTAACAAAACTCAGGGAGACAACTTCCCAAATCATTGAAGCTTTGCAAAAAATTCATTAGAATTCTACCCCACATAAAACAACAGTTTTTAGACAGATCAGGCATTTTAATGAAGGTTAAGAAGACCTCAAAGATTAATAAAAGTCAGAGGGGTCAGGTCAGAAGTGTCTGAAGACTTTTCAGAGTCCCCGAGGAATAGTCTTGCTGGGTCGTCTTTGAGGACACGGGACAAGCACATGGGCTTATTCTGAGGATGCTTTTTGGGAAACTGTGCTGGTAAGATAAAATCCAGGAAAGTTATACTGAGACACTTTTTCCCCTCACAGCAATACTTACTCATACTCCAAGGGTAGCAGACATATCCCATCTGCTCATACTATTATGACCTTGTCCCTTCCAACTCCCTGTAGTCTCCAAATTCAAATAACATTGAAAAGGAATATGATTGGAACCTCTCTCGGAAGCCGAAATGACCAGTTTGAGATGGTGAAATCTGAAAACCACAGAATTCTCCAGGGAAAGGTCAAACTCAAATGCATGGCCATGAAGTCAATTCCTACTCAGAGCAATAGGGTAGCATTGCCCCAGGGGGTCTCCCACACTGTAACTCTTTAACAAGGTAGAAAGACTCTTTCTCCTGCAGAGCAGCTGGCTCTTTGGAGCTGAGGACTTTGTGGTTAGCAGCCCAACTCCTCGCACACTATGGCACCAAAGCTCCAGGCAGGGAAAAGGTAGTGGTGGAAGCTCTGGCTTTCCAAGTACAGGAGGGCAAGTCAAAAAGCATGGTGACCAAACCATCGAAACAGACATTCAGCAAAAAGATTGAGCAGTGACAAACAATTGTTTCTGGACATATCTTCCATCTAAGCCTGTACACGCGGAAGGCAGACTGAAATTCTCTCACCTTCTCCTAAATTTAATTGGCCCGGCAAATCCCCTTATTGTCTGGATCATATTGGTAAACCCAAGATTATTCCCTAAAACCGTCTTCATTAGTTTCAACCTTCCATAAGAGATTTGCAGAAAGATCCATTTGTTTCTCTGGCTGATCTTTGCCCACCACTCTGACACACGTCTATTCAAAAGTTGTTTTCAGGCGGATATCCACTGCAGAAAATACCGAACTGCAGGAGATCCCAACTTCAGCAGCCATTTCATCCAGGGAATTGCACAATCTTCTCCTAGCAGCTTCTGGACGTTAGCCACAATGTCTCTATTCATCGAAATTGACAGTCTTCCCTTTTATGACACCTCTTTGACATCTTCCCAACCTTTCTCTTAAAATGATTCAACGCTTTGGGAAGGTGACCACTTGAGTTGTGTTAAAATTTTAATATTAAGCCTGATCTCAAAATTGGTTGTTTCCATGGAACAAAATGTGTCTTTTTTTTGAAGGTCCCCTTAATGAAAGTTAAGTGCATGACTGAGAGACTTGTCTGCAGCCACCTACTAATCTCAGAAACAGGTTACAATACGTTTTGTTAGGAGTAAACCTCTGCATGTGTGAACTGGAAAACTAGTAGCAATACTTTTTGGCTTAACATTGTATAGGCCTACATGAAGATTATGTCAAGAAACAATAGCTTCACAGTTTAATAATTTTTTTCAATAACATTTTCTATGAATATATACCAAAATATTCTGTATCTTATAAAAATATGCTGCCTTGTAGTGAACAAGAAATAGTAAAAGGTAGGAGACAGAAAGAAGTTTGTCTAGCCATAAAGTGAAATTCTGTTTATCCCAAGAGATGTTTGGCTATATGGCTATGTGAACTTGGTCAATTTCTTTACTTGCTATACACAATCAAGCCCACAGCCACTGAGTAGATTCCTACTCATTGTAACAGTTGATATGATTTCTTCATCTATAAATCTTTATGGGAACAGATTCCAATGCTTAAACAACAGCACCCCTCGGGCTCATTGAATAGCTATAGGCCTTAGTTTTTATATAGTCTAAAAAAATGTCAGGTTGAATTTTAAGCTTCTAAAATTCTCTAATTCTGCAGTATTATTGTGCTTTGGGAGACATTCAGTAAGTAAAGTAAGTCCCCAGGTTGTGAACATCTGACTTATTGGAAATTCATCCTGGGCTTTAATTTTATTGTAATATATGGACTCATTGTTAAAAGGCTGAACCATTCCCTACTCTCAACAAATTCTTCATCACAACCACCTTCACATGATGTATTTGCAGTTTATTATAAATTACTGAGGAGCTTGGGGTCACTGCTATCTAGTGGGTGCCAACCCATTGTGACCCTACAGGACAGGGTGGGACTCCCCCATGAGATTCAGAGATTGTAACTCCTTAAGGGAGTAGAAAGCTCTGTCTCTCTCCTGTGCAGTGCATGGTGGTTTCCAACAGCTGACCTTGCGGTTAGCAGCCCAACCTGAAACCACGACTCCACCAGGGCTGCTCTCTGGCCCTAAAGTGAGGCTGTCTAAGGACTGAACGCCACTGTTCAGACTTACCCACAAGAAAGACTGAGGAACACTTCAGAATGAATCCTGATCTTCACCTAGAGACTGCAGGTCATCAAAATTGACTTTTAGATATGCTGGAGAAAGTTAACACAGCTGTTTGGTTTCTGCATTCATTTAATATAATTTACTTATGAACCAAAAATGCTTGTGGAGTAAAAAATTATTTTAATGTGGTCTGCTTTCAATGCCGAACTTTAAATATTCAAAACTCTTCTTACTGTGATCAATTGTTTTTTTAAAAAATATTATACTCTAGATCATGCTTTCTCTTTTATTTAGTAATTTATCATTTTCATCATTATATGAAAACATAGATTAGCCAAAATGAAGCAACTAAAAAGTGAAGAAATTCAAAAGGAATTAGAAATCCCAAAGACTATCGTCTACATCAGTGAGCTCACCTATGCCCCAATGAATTCCACTTAAGCTCCTATTTATAGATAATATAGCACTATCTTAGTGGAGTGATTACGGAAATAAGGCCCTCTTGTATGATAAGGTAGCTGAGGTGCTCTCCACAGCTCATAGTCCAAAATCCATTATACATCTTATTTGTAATGCATCTTGATTCTAAAGTGTAATTACCCACTCATAAAATCTAATCATCAAAGCAAAAGTTATGAACAGTTTTGAAATAATAAACCCCATTCCAATAACATATGGCTTGGGTCATGAATACACAAAGCAATTCTTTTATAATATTTTCACCAAATGTGCAGTATTCTAGAGGCACATATAGTCTATTCAATTTCTATTTTATATGTGGTGACAAATAAACAAAATTAAATGAGAGCTGCCATTAAAAATATAGTCAATATGAAAATGCTTAGCCTACTACTTGTATCAGGGCATGGTAGATTTCTGGGGGCAGGGAGTGTTCATTATAGAAATGCTGACTCATTGCAATTTATGATGTGAATTAGAAATCAGATTACTTTTAGAAGTCGAATGAAGAACTGATTGTCTTCACGGAGGTGCTCCTGTGCGAGCCTGGTCATCGACGTGACTTTGCTTAAACTGCTCTTCAGCATTGCCTCACGTTGGCTGTATGCAGATGCTATTCTGTTTTTCTTATTTCTTAATTAAAAGGGAAAGCGCTGTGGCTCTCTTCAATGATAGCATGAAAATCAGAAAGTTCCTGGTGGTCTCTGGGTCAAATTGTAACAATTATGGCCACTTCTCTAGCCCTCTTGCCTTTCAAGGTTTTTTTCCTCTTTGACCACATTTGCTGCTGCTGCTGCCCACAGTAGAATGGCTGGATAAGTTTAATAATGTCACTTGCATTGTTAAAAATACTATTCCAAAATTCCCAAATGATATACATATCAGTCATTAGCTCATAAAACGCAAAAAACAAAATTGTGGGAAAAAGCCTGAACACATGAACGTCACTCAGGAGATACTTTACCACTAATCTTGTACATGTAAGACTCAAATACTATTCAGATGCATAAAATAGAAGAAGATCGCGTACAAAAGTGACATGTGTTGTCATTTTGTTTCACAAATTTAAATATAACTTGGAACAAGTATAGTTGCCTTTGAGCGGTAATGTATCTTCAACTACTAAATATGAAAAAACATGATCGCTAATGAAAGAGCCCATATTGATCTTTTGTCATGCCCTAAAGATACATAATATCATTTAATCCTTACAGAAACGCTATTAAAATAAATCACTTATCGAGTGATTTTAACACCGTATGCAATACCAAACCACCATTGCTACTAGAGCATTTACACCTATCTTCATTGAGTATGTCCTATGATCTTATTATAGATGAGGAAACTGAGGGACAAACAGGCTTAAAAGCCTGCTCATCTTAGAAACAAGAGCAATACAATTTAAGCCAGAGAAGTCCAGCTCAAAAACCCTAGATTAACTACCCGGGCCTGTTACTGTGATGGAACAATATGTGTGCTAGGTGAGGAAAACTAGGGTCATAGGATTCAAAACTAGCGCCAAATGAGACATCGAAAAGTACTGAGGGTAAATTAAACGCAGGCTTGCTTGGTTGCAAAACCGATGCAAAGATATAAGATAGAAGGTTTCCATTGACTCCAGTATCTATTTTTATTGTTGTAGACTGAAGACAGGGAGAAGGTAAGATGCAAATCTACCTGTGGCACAGGGTGTACTCTGCTTCCTATTCCCTTCTCTGAACCCTTCAGCATTTGCGTGCAAAATTAATGTTCCAATGCCACTTCATATTCTGATACTGAATTAAAGATAGAAAGAGAACAGAAGAAAGCCGAACTATGACTGATGGCAGCACAGGGGAAACCTTTAGAGAGTTTGACTTAGGAGAAAGGTAAAATGAGCTCATAAAAGTGTTTAATATTTATTTGCTTTTCTTCAGTCATACATCTTGCTCCAAAAAAAAGTATTTTAGTTGAGCCTTCATAAATAACAATTATGTATCCCTTTTTGCTACCGACTCAATGTAATAATTCCCATGAACTTTACCCCAGTTTATTATGGAAGAAAAACATCTGATCTTGAATATTATCCTCAAAAAAATACCCAAACCCCAGAAAAGAGATATTAAAAGTGGAATATGTTTATAGACTCAATTCCTTAAAACATACATATATGGAATAGATTTTGTTTCTTTGCATTTTCTTAGAAGTTCAAATGCCCGTCAGAACACGTGAAAATAATCTAGTGTTAGAACTAAAAGAGGTTTTCGAAATATCTAAAGCGGGTCCTTTTCAATCAACATTTGGG